ACTGCTCGTAGCGTACCTGACCATGGACAACTTTGGCACTGAAACACGGTGTTGGAATTTTGTTCGCTTTCCTCAGCTGAGCTCAGGAAAAGTTTACATACGAATTCGGGTAGAAGTGTACTGGAACCAACAAGGATACCCTACAATTCCCCAATTGTCACCAAGGCATGTAGTTGACTATGTGCACATTTTCCCATACCTACCCAATAAGGTAGTTGGTGACTCCGAAGGCCAGCATGGCCAACATAGCGTAACCGATACATTTCATTGAGTTTCCGCGTGCATCTGTAGGGACAGTGTGTTCGAATGCCATATGCTTGGCTGCCAGCACGAGAGCTATTGGAACTGAATAACGCACACTGTGAAAAGCAAAACGTAGCAGTCCTCGTCTGTTCAGGAAATAGCACGCTCCCTAGCTAGTGGGACAGCGAGGGATTGCGTGTTGCGAAGGCGGTCGAGCACTGCTCTTCTTTAATAGCGTGCGATGAATTACTGCTTAGGTTCTCGTTGTGACACGGTGTTGGGTTAACCGTGATACTTAGCACTGCACAGTTGTGATTTCATGCTAGTTGTGTTCGGTGATTTACTCGGTAAATAGAGACCGATATCAATGATCATAGTTTAAGATCAGCTGATGATGATCGTGCAAGACGAAACAGTGCTTTCGTGATACCAATTCGACTGCCATTGTGGGGGAGGGGGTTCGTCGGTTGCTCTCGAGTGATCCCTTACAACTAGACACTGGTGAGTTCAAATTGAAACACGCAAGTTATTGGAGAGGTCGCCTCCCAATGGGAGGCTCTCATGCAGTGACAACTCAACTTCTCTGATACTGTGTCATGAATTCGTATCAGAACTTCGATAGTTCATCACTGAATCCTGAAAGACGGGATCGAATCTGAACAGGAAGGCGACTTGTTCTAGATGCACCGGTCTATCACCGCGAAGGCTAGCCAGAATTCCACTGGTGCCTGACTAGATATTAGTTTTACCCCACTGACGAAGTAAATGCTGCGACGGTAGTCGAAGTTAGTACGAGAGGAACACTTTCGTTGGTTAATGCCGTTGTCTGAAAAGACAGTATGGCGGAGTTACTATCTGCTGGATAATCCAGCCTGGATTACGACTCAATGCCTCCAAGCCGGAATTCATGTTGGATAAGCAGTGTTGTACTCAGGACCAATGGCGTACAAACGGTCCCTGGGGAGGTACGCGAGTCAAAAATCATCGATATAATGGGTACGCTGTGCTCGGAAATTTCTCAGAAAAATTTGTAGGAAAAATTTTATCCCACAAGTGCAATAGGAGTCCCGCACTGTAGCCGACAGTCTGCAGGACAAGGGAATTACACCGAGATTATCACAGAATCCCCTCCAATCAGCGACCAGATTGACAATCACAAATACTGGCAAGGTCGTAAGCATAGGAAATAACGGATTATGGATTGATGAAATGATAGAAACTTGCCGTGGTCAGAAACCCCGGTCTAGGGAAAAAATCTGACTACTGAAACACAATATTATATGATACGGCGGCGCCGCTATGTCCCAGAGCAGAAATCGGCGAAACCGCGAGCGACCGGCTTCGAGGCTCGAGCTACAGCAACAACTTGAGGGTTCTATCTAAGTTGCCACGATAAGAGTCAATGACTCTGTCAGTGCTGTCGAAGCAGAGCCTCTTGGCCATCTCTCTGTGCACTGCGATCAAAGCGAGATCCCTTATTCGCTCATCCAACATGGTCGTCCTCAACCAGGTTTTAATCCTTTTTATACAGGAAAACGTCCTCTCAGTCGCGCACGTCCCCACGGGTATAGTAATGACGATGATACACATGCGGTACAAGTATGGAAGAGCCCTTTTGAAGGGCTCGAGAAGTCTTAATAAGACTGTCTTATGAGCTCTGTGAGACTCGCAGGAGCTTCAAAGTCATCGCCGTCCCCCTATGGCCTCTCACGAGTATACGTTTGCACGTCTCGAAGTCATCTCTCAAGTCTTCCAGATTAAAATCAAACTGTTGGGCGAGAGGAATAGTTTTATCGAAGTTCAGAAAGCTCGGAGACCTTGGAGAGGGAGCCTCGATGCCTCTGAAAGTTACAAATGTTTCCTTTCCGAACCTACGATCGAGCTCCTCGACCACCGCGTGCAGAGTAGGAGCGTAGACCTTCAGGCGATAGTCATCAGGAGTATCATAAACTACGGCCTCATCGGCCGCCGCATCACGCCGAGCCCGCCCCACTGGTCTACGACGGGGAGCGGACAAATCCAGGTCATCCCGCAGAGCCTCAAAGCTTTGCCAAACATTATCGCACGAGCTAGTATCAGCTCCTCGCTCGATCGCATCCAATTCCTCGGAAACGTCACCTTGGGTGGCTTTGATGAGGACGATAGCTGCGTTAAGATCCAGCTCCGGGGATTGCAATAACAGGTGCAGCGACTTGCATTTCCTGAGCACCTCCTCTATCATGCAGAGGTTAAACACCCATAGCGTATCAATGATACCCAGAATTCCTAAAGAATCACCGCGCCGTTCCCGATCTTTTGGGTCGTCACTCTCAGCAAAGTGGTTAAGAGTATCTATCGTTGCGGGTGGAAGGATCCTTGCATTCTTGCAACTAGCATGCTGGCAACACCAGCGAGTATCGGAATGCCTCTTGAGCTCGGAGGTACTGAGCCCATGCAGCTCCTTAGTCTCCCCCAGTTTAGCGTGGACGACTGACTGGCTGAAGAATCCGTAAATCAGTCTGAGCTGTTTTATGAGCTCGCTAGCCTTCTTCAGCGAGGAGATGCAGCCGACGGCAGCTAAATTCAACCTACACAGAGCATAAATTCCGAAACCAACGATGGTGTTAAGCGGTTCAACGACTGAAGGAGAAGGCGAGAGCTGATACGAAGCTGGTTATGCCTGACGGAGTGATGCTAACTCTATGATTTTCGATATGGCGAACTTCGAAATGGATATCTACACCTTACGAACGATTACCCCTTACCGATGCGCGCAGCAGTGTATGTGAAGCCCGACGCAGTTTGAGGGGGAACGGCGGCGAGTTTGAACTCCAGACACCACCTCCACAAATGTTGATGCCCCATCGTAGCTTTGAGCTACGATGTTTTGGGCGGGTAGAGATAGGGAGTTCAATACTTCCAGCATGGAAGCAGTTACTGCCTCGGCGTCCAACCGCTTCATGTAAAAGAAGCCCAGAAATACTAAGTATTTCGAAGTAGAATTAAGAAGATGACACTGATACTTCTTATTAAGAAGTATTTAATACTTCTTTGACTTGTGACTGCTCGGAATCATCTCCCTGACACCAGAAACGAGCACAGAGCGATAAATGCTCTCGACGGGATATATCCTCCGACTCATCGGCTATAATCGAGAAATATTTGGTCTTGAGAATTTCGTCAGTGATGTCGTCCTTTATGAGGCCAGCAACAGTCGACAGGAGTTCGTTTTGTACTCGAGGAGCCAGGTACATTTCCTTTCAGAGCAGCTCAGATATATCCGGGTTGAACTAGGCGACGACGTCAAGGATCTCTCGGACATTACCACGTTTAGACGAAAGGGAACCCTCGTCGTGCCCGCGAAGGGCAATACATTGGCGAGCGCAAAGGGCGGTCACAGATATGATCGCCTTCAAGTAGTTCCTGTTCTTCTGAACTTGCGCGTCCCTGAGATTTCCAAGGAGCTTCTCGATGCCGCCCTGCTGCATACTCTTCCGTAAGTTTTGGAAACGAATCTGTGGCAGTAAATCAAGTCCTTAGAGCCGGAGTATTCGATCCATGGGTAGTCATTTGCCCACGACGGTTGGAATGACCTCTTAGTTTTGCCGGAGAGGCACACGGAAAAAACCTTTCAGGGGCGCCGGAGGAACCACCGGGTCTTGATCCGCAGACCTCGAGATATCAGCAACGAACACGGGCGTATGGGACGAGCAAACTTGCGGAGACGGTTGTACTCGAGGGGAGACGTATCGGACTCGGACGAGAATCCCTCGTCGTCTAGCGGAGAGAGCTCCTGATCAATGTCGTCAGGGAGATCAGCTCCTTCAGCTTGAGCACGCTCGTCACCCGACTCATCGCCGCCCTCATCAGACGAGGGGGGACAAGACTCGTCCTCCATTTCGGCGCGGAGTCTCTTCTGGGGCCCGAAAAATTGAAGGATTGACGACTGGTTCGACATAGGATGGTGGAGGAAGCTGACGATGCAAATAAGTGACGGTCCCATTGAGGCCATCACATTCGCGAAAATCACAAGTTCATAACATTGTAGGATTGGTGACGATTAGGTCACGAACCTTGTTTATGCGTGCCTTGAGAAAGTTCCTATGTGCACTTGACGAGATTGGGAGTTCGAAAGTCGGGTTTTGAATTTCTTCAAACACGAATTTGAACTTGCTATAGACCTCGAATTTGAATGTTCTGTGGCGAATTTGGAAGTTGTAAATACGAATATGATCTTTCTTTTCCCGGATTCATAAATCCAGCTTTCCGATCGTTCCGAGGAATTTGATGTCCACAAGTTATTAAATTTGCCACTCCTCGTCGTGTAGGTCTGATAGGGTGGTAGTTTGGTACGAACCGGCCCTACAGGTACCGACGAGGCAGAGACACTCAGCGTGACGAGTGGATTACTCAATGCTTGGGACCTTTCTCTCCTCTACTCGTGATCCTCGGCGTTCACTTTGCACAGTATCTTACACTTGTGCCAAGGTCTAGCTTTCTAGGTTTATTCGGTTATTGATTAATAGGGCATAATAATCATAACTTATATATTTGATGTGTTGTATTATAATAGTAGTTCAATATTCTCATAATACTAGGATATATATTTAATTTTTATTATTTACTCGTTGATATATCCTGGATATAATATCCATATCATTCCTATAAGATTATAATATAATAAATAGTATCAGTAAAGGATCAATAAGTAATACCCGATACTATAGACTAATTGTGTTTGAATTGGGCTGCTTACTTAGGTCTTCCCTTAGCCCTGGGCAGCAGCAGCATGCAGAGTTTTTTACAATGATTGAAAAAAACTTCTTTTAAAGGCACAAAACTAATAAAAAATTTCCGTTGATTACCGTGCGGAATTCAAAGACTGGGGTATAACTCGCTACTCTAACACCTATTGTAAACACGACGGGAAAAATGTGTAGATAATCGGAAAAGATTCCCGACTATCCGAGTTCCATCGTGATACTCTGCGCTTGCACGGTCTGCGCACGCGTGCAGCGTTCATAATTCACGAAGTCCGCACGCGTGAGAAGACCGCACGAGATGTAGATCTTTCAGAAGTTCTAAATTAGAACAAGAAGAATCAATAACTCCGAAACGCATCTCCACGTCTTTGATTTGAGGAAAACGTCCCAATCTTAGTCAAAACCCGCTTATCGAATACTCTGGCATGCCTCAGGCATGTGATCTCCTGCTCGGAGCTCCACTATCTCCCCTTCGAGGATCTTCACAGCAGTGAAATGAATGCACCCTCTACAAGAGAGGTACTACCTCTGCCGTAGCAGCTGCTACCGTAGCAGCTGCAGGCATAGGTATCTCTTCGAATAATCATCGTTTGTTTCATCATTATCCCATATTCGTTGAAGTCGTGCCAGCTCCCTGGGTTCTCAGATAAAATATTATTTATGAATGAAGCCATTGTCTGATCCAAGCGCTTGATGCTGCTGCCACAAGCTCGCAACAATTGAATAGATGATATATAATAGGACGGGCCGTATTCCTCTGTATAGATATACTCAGCTGCTTCGCTGCTCGCCCATCGTGTTGCTTCCACCAGCTTCTCCTGCGCAAGCGGATTTTGTTCTTTGTAGATCCTTATCGAGTGGTCGGCGGTTGCCACAAGAAGCTCCCTGACAAAAGTGGATATCTTCGATGAAGGTTTAGTGAGGCCTAAGAGAGATATCAGTGGAGAATGCGCTCACATTGAGCTCGGGAACGCGAGCATACTCACCGTCCTTCAGTGCTTTCTTGGTAGCCTCAACTTGGTTGTTTGTTCTGGTGACTGCACTCTGAGAGTGCCACCCTCGTCTTCATAGCACGTCTGCGACCATGTACATCGCTGGAGTAGCCGCTGAGCCTTCAGATAACTCGTCAGCTTTTCATATCGAGGATTCCATCTCGCGATGAGCAATTTTGCAGCAACAGTAAAATATTTATGTGAGTGAGTACACTGAAGAGCTTTCGCGTCCTCGATGAACTCAGTGATACCTGCCTCAGCTTTCCGTGGTTCCAGCGAGTTCGGGAGTGATGAACTGTTTCGCCCTCTCGAAGACGTTCTACAGAACGTGAAACTGGCAATGTATGCGGATATTCAGCTGTTCCGGGTGTGGAATAGGTCAATATAAAGTTGACGTGAGACCCGTCGGTTTAAACAACTCATGCACCTGAGACAACGCTTCTTTCGAGGCACATTCAAGCATGCGGTGTCGCTCGCCCCCAAAAAAGTTCCTTACCCCCGCGCGCGGCCGGTTTCACATGTCGGCCATGGCTTTTTCGGGAGAGTACACAGCATACAATGAGGAAGTTCTGGCTGCGAATGCGTTGATATCATTATGGTTAAGATGGTTCAAAATCTACGTTGTCTTAGCCGAGGACTTTTGCTTGAACCCTACCATGCTTGCTTGGATCGGTACCGTCACCCTAGGCTAGGCTATCCCCTCCATCGCCGGTTTTCAAGTTTTCTCATACCCTGCTGAGCAGG